AGAATGATGATGGCAACAAATGTACACATGTGCTTGACACAATGGATGTACGTATGGATTGTGATAAGAGTTGTACGAGCCCCCAACTAAATGATTATTTTTTTAAATGAAAGAAAGAAAATAGTTCCCAAATATCCGTCAGCCTCAGTCTCCCCGGGAGCTCATAAAAAGCACAGAGACCCCGATGCACGGAGCTGTGCCTCTGCATTGTCACCAAGCCCCCAGGGTAACCCTGGCACTACTCAGTCTGAGAACCACTAAAATGTAACCCTGTACTTAAAACCTGTCTACGGCAGAATGACCTATAAAATTATTATTCACATCACCTTGCTCAACTTGGGAGAGTTAACTTGTGTAACCTAAGATTTTACAAGGTGGTGGTAAATACCATATACAAGAGACTGGGACTGGGAAATACACTGAATGAATTAGATCTTAGCATCAGTGTTCTATGAGAGAATATGTCAATGAAAAAGTTACTTGATATTAGTAACTCCGACACCGCAATAGCCTAGATGTGGCCTGCCCTTATTAGTCATGAGCTCCAGGCTACGATGTACTTACCTGCAAGAGGTGCCCGGATAAGATGGATGTTTTGCTTAACTTCTTTGATGTCCTGCACTTTCTGTAGCTCTTTGTTTTTCTTTAACCTAGAATAGGACACATCAAGCCACCAGTTCAGTTACTTACACCTTTTTAGCAGACATTAATTCCTAACCAGATCCCTGGTGGCGTTAGTGGCTAGGAGTTGGGCTGCGATCTGCAGGGTCAGCAGTACGAAACCACCAGCTGCTTCTCGGGAAGCACTCCGGTGCAGAGTCACAGTCTTGGAAGCTCACAGGGCAGTTCTACCCTGTCCTGTGGGTCACTGAGAGTCGACACTGCCTCGATGGCAGTGAAAGAATTCATAATCGCTTTGAACTTTACCAAGTCAGTCACACTGGTGGGGAATGGAAACAAGGTGGCTGTCCTCTGGGCCCTGCCCCACTCCATCCAGAGCAAGAACATCATCAAATGGACAGCGTTTCTGTTCTCTGAAATCAGTCCCCAAATGCACTATCTATCTTATATTTACTCCAAACTTAAAATAAAACTAAATATTAGGCCCTAACAGATGCATACTTTCTTCCTCAGCAAGTGAAGCACATGATGACTGGTCGATCGGCTTTAAAAAGATCCCTACACTCCAACTTCCTCACCCACTGCACCACGCGAGCCTGCTGTGTATTCACTAGTATTACTGAGGCATGAGGAGGTGAGACTGAATGAAGGAAAACATTAACGTAGCTCGGCAATCACAGTCTGTAATAAATCTATAGTACTCTATCACAGGTTAAAGAGTTAAGATCTTTTCTCTTCAAAGGGATGACAGCCTCCACATCTATAATTTCTAAATCACTCCATCATTACAAGAGCACAAAACATTGACAGGCATTCAATATAATGCTATCAGACTAGCTCTCACACATTTGAGCCTCTTTTCTTTAGCAATTTAAGGTTTTTGAGTGTGAGGCTGCTTGCACCTGCTTCTGTTCCATGACAGGCTTGCATGGTAATTGGATTAGAAACGAATGCCCTGGCTGTGAAGAAGCAGCCAATTCCAGGGGCGGAACGGGAAGTACCGGGTGAGTCTTAACCACGTTGCCAGATAACAGGATTGCACGGTCAAAGAATTAAAGAGGGCTTGTCAAAAAACACACAGGAGCAAGCCTGATGAAATTTGGGGCATTTAAAAGATCAAAATAAGGACTGACAATAAGAATTATAACCTACTGAGTGCCATAAAAACACAAATGCAGGACATGAAAGGAGAAATAAAAGTTTTTACATGAGGAAGAATAAATGTAAAGGGAGTTATTACAGCTATGGGAAAATCATCCGGCAGAAATCACTGTACTAACTACTCAGAGACGCCTCTCCGGGGGACGCTAAGATGAGTGGGTACAGTTTGAACAACAGGCTCTTTTGCAGCGTTTCGTGTATTTCCTGCAAACACAGAGCGCACTGCCGCTGAGCAGGTCCTGACTCACAGCAGCCTCACGCGCAGGGCAGAAGGGCCCCTTTAGCCCACAGACACGTACCTTGCTCCTGGTGAGCAGCTGGCAGGTTAGCAGCTCAACAAGGAGCCAAGCCACTACACCAGGGGTCCTCAGACTTTTTAAACAGGGGGCCAGTTCACTGTCGCTCAGACCCGTTGGAGGGCCGGCCTATAGTTTAAAAAAAAACTATGAACAAATTCCTATGCACACAGGAGTCATACCTGTTCATTATGAATGTGGCCTGGCGTTTCTGCTTGATCTCTTCAACCTTCTTCATTGCATCAACTACAAAAAAAATCATCAAAGTCAGCGACAAATGTGTGCCTATCCCAGCAGTATGACACTTATCACTCAGGAGTTTAACAAAGTCCTTCTGACTTCAGTGCCTGGTTTAGAAATGCACTTAAGAAAAAACTCTCACTGCAAAGACAATGGGCTGAAGTGGCTAAAGAAGCCAAGTGCTCTTGGCAGACGTCCCTGCTGACTTATAGCACCTTTCACAAATACCACCTCTCAAGTTTATTTAATGAAAGCCTTCCTTTTTACTAGAATTTCTTCCTACTTGAAACCAGTCCAATCCTTTTCAGATGTTATGCTGCACACAACTTACATGAAATACAACACATGCCATCTTCAGCTTGCAATCTCCAGAAAGACAGTACCTTTCTGGTCATTTTCTCCAAGACCTGGGTTATGGTCAGCACTTAAGTCAAGGCGGGCAAAATGAACCAATCAGGATCAGTATTGCCATGATCCCGCCCACTAAAATTTATACTGCAAAATCACACCACTGCCGCATTTAAGTAATCGGAGAAAGGGTTATGGAGGCTGTGATGTTTAGGGGACCAGTTCACTAGGTCTTTCCCACGGCCACTCGGTGAATTTGAGCCACAAGCCTATCAGTTAGCAGTCCCCAGCTTAACTGGTGGGCCGGGAAGGCTCCTTAAACAAAGCTCAGGAGGATGTCAAAGACTGCTTACTACCAAGGTCCAGAGTCTCCAGTCCTGCCCGTAGGTCTTGTGATGACTGAGGGATGCCTGTCTACGATCTTTTAGAGAGCAACAAAATGCATGGGTTCTAAACCTTCGAGACTCCTGGCTAACACACTCATTCTATGCCGCTCCCAGTCAATGCTAGAAAGAGTTCAAAGCTCCCTCAGGGAGCCACGGGGCAAAGATAAAGCAGGGCCAAAAGCTGGCCAGGAACACAGTAGTAGCTAGTGAGCTTGCTCAGAGGACCTAAGCTTATTTTATTAGTCTCAGCCCACTGCAGGAAAGAAAGCATCGAAATTTCAACCCCTGTAATTTCAGTAGCTGGCAGCTCCATGAAGGAACTGTGCTGGCACAGTGGGTAAGTACTTGGCTTGCTAATCAAGTCAGCAGTTCAAACCCCACAGCGGCTCCATGACAGGACAGACCCAGCGGTCTGTTTGCATGCAGACTTTGGTCTTGAGAGCCTGTGGGGCTGTCCTACCCCATCGTCTAGGGCCCCTGGGGGTTGGAATCAGCTCAGGGACTATGGAGGTCAGGGGGTTATTAGAAACATTCTAAGTGTCCCCAGAATCGCTGCATTTAAAACTTTTATATAAGCACGACATTTTATCAACTATCAGAATGCACTGTATACACCTCGGAAATGATCTGAAGTTTTGTGTACATTGTGATTATGCCGCACTGCTCCCCAAAACAATGATTCTCTCTCCTCCTGCCCCTAGATCTTTGGATGCAGATGGCACTGAGTTTATGTATCTCTGTGTGGATACTTCAAATAACAGCATACTTAATAATTCCTTTGTATTTATAGCAGATATACCAGCCAATTCTAAAAATAGTTTCAGATAGTTTACAACAAATGACACAAATATTACAGAACTGTTCAAACAAAAGTAAAATAACAAAAGCCAAGTGACAAACAAAAGAAGAAAATGAGTATTAAACAACTGACATTCAAGTTAAGGCAAGTTCCCAAGCCAGTCTCCCTTGAGGATCCCTGCAGTTCTCTCTTGACTTACCAGTTTTATTCCATAGTTCTCGCTGGTACTTGACAGGTTCATTTCTACGCTTTTCAAATTCAAATGAATTATCCTGTAAAGGGAACAGAGGAAGAAATATATGGTTTTAAGCCACAGAAGGGACTCGTTTCATAAAACTTATTCTCCTTTTCACAAGAGTTCAGTGTGTCCAACACCACACACACACACACACACAGTTTTTCAAGACTTTTTCTCTTCTACCTACATGAACAAGCCCCCCCCACTGAAAACCGCTCTCCCCCTAGGTAGGAGTAGAGGGGCACAAATAACAACCGGGGCATTAGCTTTCATAGAGCCCATCCTGAGAGCAGACGCGGTCAGAAAACTCGATTAGGTTGAACAATATGAAGTTGTCATTTTTCACTGATTAAAAGAAATTTCCTGATTCAACCTAAATGTGAAAGTACACCTTCAAATAATTTGGTGCTGTCCCGAGATTGTTCCAGATCCCAGTTCTTGGAGTTGGTATTTTGACAGCTGATTCCATTCATCCATCTTAAAACCTGCAGAGCAACTATGAGAAGATTGCACATTTCTGGCAAACTTCCAAGTATGTCTCGGTTTGCACACCGCGCTGCCTCTGCACTTAGCTGTTCGGGGAAACACGCTTGCTCTATGCGGACGACACCAGCCTCCGTGAGAGCAAGGGAAGTGACCACAGTGAGGGAGCCTGACTGGCGGCTCCTTCCTCCATCCCTGAAGCTGCCACTTGAGTGTGAGGGCTGCTTCTTCTTCGTGGCCACACTAGACCATCACCGTCTCAATGCCATGTGGCCTGGCATTTTCCCTGAAATCTGCCTTCCGTTCACTGAAAACCTCGAAGAGTTTAGGGTCGGCAACGGGCTTCATGGCAAATGCTTCTGAGGCAGCCGAGGTCACAGAGGAACGGATCGAGTGAAAAGTCTCCCTCCTGCAAAGGCAGCCCTTTCGCCCACTCCCTTCCCGTCAGAGAAGTCCAATGCGGACAAGCTTCAGCAGACCCAACGGCCATAGGATGACGGGGCAGCCCCTGGGGCCCCCATCTCCTGACTCCCCACTATTCCTCCTCACACCGCCACCACTAGTTCCTCTGCTCTCACCCTGCCGAGGGACTCCAGAGCCTGGTACTGTCCATTCCAAGTCCCAGCCAGGAGACCCTCCACCACTTCCCCACATTCCCTCCAAAGCCTGTGTGGCAATTTTCAATGCGATCCCAAGCCACTTGACTGATTTTCTCCTTTGCTTACAAGAGCTGAAAACCGTTTTTAAAGTAAGAGAACTAAATGGAGATTTTTTTCTTTGCAGGATCCTACAGGTTTCGTATTTTCAGGATCATAGGAGAATGCAAGTACTTCCACAACCAAATATAAGTAAATCCCAAAGCAATCATGTTATAGGATGCCTTGCTAAGGTTTGTTAAATCACATAACCCAAAAAATTAAATTCCAAAATATGGAAATACAGAAACTGTGCTGGCAGCTAAGCACACTCACCACTGTAAGCTCTTTACCGGCGGCTTTCCGGAAGGCCTTGGTCCACCTGACCTTGCGAGGGTTTCGCTTCTTCTTAAAGTTTTTATGGCACTTGGATTTACAAAACCGGAACACCTACAAGAGAAGTAAGTTGAAACACTGAAAGGTCTCCATTAAAAGTTTTTCTGTTACAAAATCACTCCCACTCCCTACCCCTCCACTACCCCCAGCCATCAGACAAAGAAATACTGTTAAGTCTGAGTAACAACAATAGTTCCTATGCATAAAACCTTTTACCTACCCACAAATTCATTTAAAAACACATGACATATGCCAAATTGATTGGAAACCCAACTATTGGGACCATCAGTCATCATCCCCCAAAAAGGCGAACAGCCCCCAAAATGTGATTAAATACTACTAGTCCTTTTTTAATAGAATAACTTGAGACGAGTCATGTAGGTCTCTCTAATTTACAGCAATTTTCAAAATCACTTTCTATATATTTCTATAGGAATAAAAGTTTCAAAAAGTCATTTAGGAATATCCTTTTATTATTTCCATTGTTCTTGCTAAAAGAACAAAAAAAATCAACGTACTCAAAGATCTATCTACTAGGAAGATTCAGTTATGGCTTTGACTCCACACGGTCATCTTCCACAACCTGATTTTAATGCTGATCTTCGACATGTCCTGAAATGGCTTATTCACCCACCAAACCAGAACTCACTGCCACCGAGTCCATTCCACTCAGAGAAGCCCTCTGGGGCACAGCAGAAGTGCTCCTTCAGGTTTCTGAGACTGTCGGTCTTTACTGAAGAGACACCCGTCTTTCTCCTGTGGAGCAGCTGGAGGTTTGAACCACCAACCCTAACCCGCTGCATCACCAGGGCTACTTGTGGACTGGCTTATTAGGGCTCATCATAGTCTCAATGCACTATTGCGTTCTTACAGCGTCAGTGGTGCGGTAGTTAAGTGCTAGGCGGCTTGGGCAGCAGTTCTACAGAAGAGAACCTAGTGATCGGTCCCTCAACACTTACACCAGGGGTCCTCAAACTTTTTTTAAAAAGGGGCAGTTCACTGTCCCTCAGACCTGTTGGAGGACCAGACTATAGTTTTTTAAAAAACTATGAACAAATTCCTATGCACACTGCACATATCTTATTTTGAAGTAAAAAAGGGGGGGGCAAAAACACCCGGGGGGCCGCATGTGGCCCGCAGGCCGTAGTTTGAGGACCCCTGATTACACTGTAGACAACCCTCCAGGGCAGTTCTGTCACATGGTGTCTATGAGTTGACAGCGACTGACTCATTAGCATCCAAGAGCAGCACGCCTGTAGACGAATTCCACACTATAATACTTTTCATCTATGTGCACTTCGCTCCACAGAGAATTTCAAGCAGGTCAGTACACCCACCGGGTCCCAAATCTCTTAGAAACAATGCCAAACCCACAGCTTAGAAAAAAAACCTCTCCTTAATTTGAGTGAAAACATGCCTATATGCCTTATTTAATTTCAAAGACCTGAAAATATTAAAATCTACAGTAGTCTCATGGAGTAACCCATTATGAAATCATTATCAGCAACTTTTTTAATACTTTACATATTTTCAGCAACGTCCTATTTCCTTCAAGGAAAAATCCCCTAAAACGTACTAGATAATCCTGGGTACTGTCTGCTCCCATAAAGATGTAAAGTCTAGGAAACCCTAATGAGTAGCTCTACCCTGCCCTTTAGGGTCCCTGTGAGTCAGAATCATC